CTGGGATCCTGCTCTAAAAAAATATTAAAAACGCAAAACACACCAGATGGGAATTCTTTGCTTTTCATTTTCTATAAGCAGAGTTAACAGATCCTGTTGTATTTTCTTGTAATTTATTAAAAGAAGGTACACCGCCATCTTGTGCCGACTAAACTGACTTGAACGCACCTGACATCGTAATTACGACTTGTCAACTCGTAAGTACGAATGTCCCAGGAGGACGTGAACGCAGCATTAGTATAGTCGTGCGTAACTTGTTGCATTAGGGGAATCGTAGTCTTTTGAGACCTTCATGCATAATGATGTGGGCACAATAAAACTACATTTACCAGCGACTACAACACACAACAAACATGGCGGTGCCGGAGCATCAGGAGCGTGAATCAGTGAATAGTAATATTAGCCAAGATAATGAAGGCAAAAAATCTGGTCCAATATCTTTCGTTTTTAGTAAAACATTAAGTAAGGTTAAAGCTGGCAAAGCGGAAGAGCGAGATTATTTAGTTGAAGTCGAAGGGAAAGAACTTAAAGGGTGAGTTGAAGGCTAACGTTAGCTAGGTTAGCTAATAATCTAACTGAAAGGAGTATGACATTGATTATTTATATGCTTCAACTCTTATGTGTCTGTCACTTCTACAGAACCAAACCGGTGGAGAAACCGAAGGAGCTGGTCATCCCGTTGATCCACAAGAACCGCTGGTACCGGCAGGATGCTGAGCGAGGGGACAAGAGCAGAGACCCGTCCCAGCAGGAGCAGGAGCAGGAGCAGGACACGGTGGAGTCTCAAGCCGTCAAAGAGCTCATCGAGGGTGTGTTGCTCGACTCTTATTCGTTCTGCTGGGTTCGGTGTGTTTCAAAACCTAGTAAGATGCCTACCTTACCTAGGGGGCATTCATTCATTAATGTAAAATGACCAGGAAGTTAAATTATCTATGGTATTATCTCGGAAGTACTATGGTAATAACACTGTACGTGAGTATTGTAACTATTCAATTCCATGGTATTTAGACAATTTTGACACTGTACTGTAAAACATGGCCTAAGATGCCCTTAAATGTTAAGTGTCACTAGGTTTTAAAACATAACCTTGTCTAATTGTGAGATGCCAGCTTTGCTTTAGGTTTTCAGTGGGTTTCCTTTGCACTTGTAGTGTGCTTCAAATCTTAGAAGTATATTGTTAAAAAAACACTCATTTTGATGTGTTGAGTAACATATTAAAGTACATGTAAAGTACCTGATTATAATTCTAACTGTAGTGTGTTTAGTAATACATATATGAAATATATTTTAAATGTACCAAATCGCAATGCCATCGTTACAAATATGTTATTACAAATATGCTTAAATACAAGTTTCATTAGAAATTAAATATGCTCAAATAGTCTGTCATTTCTACTAAAAGTATATTTTAGTTACCAAAAATGCTTGTTGGTGCATTCAACAGTATTGTTTAATCATATTTCAAAGATGATAGAATTATGAAATTACACATAAAGATGTACTAAAATGGGTCAAAAAAGCGATTTCAAGTTCAACTAATTGTTTAATATAAATGTAAACTATAATACCTTTTCATTTAATTGCAAATAACATACAGTTCAGGGTGTTGAAACATTACATTCAGTTTGCACTTGAGTATATTCTTTTAAAGTGTATTATTTCCATAATAAGCTTTTGTTTTTGTTTTGTTTTTTAAGTATGCTAAAGTGTACATCTTTTTCATAAGGGCTAATGGAATAATCCATGTGGTTCTATGCAGTAGTAGTTTGTATAGTATTTAAATCCATTGGTTATTCATTGATGTAATGCTTGACATGAAATGTATCATCAGTAATTCTCATAACTTAGTTGGTGTGGCAATAATGTGGCTTAGTGGTTATAGATAATTATAGATAGGACAGGTAAGCAGAAGATTGTAGGTGGAACCCTTTCTGTTACTGTAGTAAAAATGCCGCAAGTCAGTTTTGTACACGGAAGCATCTGCTAAAATGACGAATAATGTAATAGTTCTGTTTTAATGTCATCTACTACAGAGTCTCAAAAGCACCAGGAGAGATGGAAGAACGGACCGCAGATGGATCCGAACTTTGCCATTCCTCTTCTCATGCAGAACCAGGCCCCTCAGGGTTTTGAGGATGGAGACAAAGTCAATGTGGATTTGCGACCAGAGTCGGTAGGTTCATCATGATGGACACAAAAAATGGATGGAAGGACAGGCAGTCTGTTTTCAGCTGGTCTATCCAGCAATGAATGTTGGTTCTCAGCATGGAAATATGCTTTTTGGTCAAGTTACTTATTAAACACATAAAGGCTTTTTGTAAATACTTTGTCTCCTGAGAATCCTGCTCATAGGATACATTTTAGTGTTGAGTTCATCATAGCAAATTGTATTAAATTAAATGGGAAAATCTTGTAAAGCAGGATGAATCCAATGTGGATGAATCCAGGATGAATTCAGATCCAATGTGGGAATGAGTGTGAGGTTACACTGCAAGACGAAAAGGAAGTGTGCGCTACAGCCTAGTAGACCCTTATACAAGGACATGACTGGGACATTAATGTGAGTCACAATCATACAGATTTAACATTTTGTGAGTTCTGAGAGTTAAGAAATTCTCAGCATTAATGGTTCAAGAATTAAAAATAGCTCGTAGTATTCCGTTTTTGTACAGTTTGTCTAGCTAATGTTATAAGCTATTTGACTATAGATTAATAGCCAAAAGTTGATTGGGCTGTAGCGAAAACTGCAATTTTGTAATAGCCGAAACTGACAAGCCAATCGCAGAGTATGACAAGCAACCGCCACAATCGTGATGTTCACTTCTTTTTTTTTCTTTTTTCATGAGGCTTTACCCTTCTTGTTTTACACTTAATGCATGTGTATTGAATTTTCAAGAAGTTAATAATCATAACAAGAGTGAAGAGAGTAATATTTTTACACCAACTGGCTCATTTTACGTCATTAAGACTGTGTTCCATTGTGATTTGTACAGAGGTTCAGTAGATTTGCACTAAACCGAGAGAGAGAGAGATCGTCTGAGCATGCGCGATTACCTGCGTCTATCCTTCTTCAGGTCAAGTCATATATTTGTGAAAAAAACAAAACAGTTTGCCATCAGTTCTCAGAAGATGAAAGCGATATTTTTGTCACAGCATCCTTTCAGTTTTTAAAGGGATTTCCCATGACTGGCGTCAGTGCTGTTGAATGCATTGATTTTATATGAATTGAAAGAGCTGCAGCATTACAGGTAACATGTTGATCGTCGGTTGAGCCTTGTAAAGTGGTGCTCAAAGTTAAAGTAATTTCAACACCTTGTTTCAATTATCAATGAAACAACGTTTTTAAATGTATTAGTTGACTCACCCGTAATGACGGTCTCTTGCCTCCACCTCCTGGTGTAACAATTTAACTGCACTGACTGACAGCCTGTGTAAAATTAGCGTCACTGTACTGATACTGCTGAAATGTCAATTACACTGTTGTCCAGTCAGATTCGAGAATTGGCACTTACTATTATACATATATTAATATACCAGCGAGCTTAATTAGATAGATATAGACAGATATTGAGCCACTCAAAATGACTGCAATGGAAATTTCTTCACTGCGACAGCTCTAGTTGTTTAATAAGAAAAACAGCTAATATGCTTTGTCTATATACTATAATTCAAAATTTTGTGGTCAGCAAGATTTCAAAGTAGTATTTATTTGGTCAAAAATACAGCAAAAACAGTAATATTGTGAAATCTTTTTACAATTTAAAATATTGTGTTTGAATACGTTTTCTATTTGAATATATTTTAAAAAGTTATATTTTTCTGTGATAGTAAAGTTGAATTTTCAGCATCATTACTCCAGTCTTCAGTGTCACACGATCTTTTAGAAATCATTTTAATATGCTGAGTTGCTGCTCAAGAAACATTTCTTAATATGATCAATGTAAACAGTGAAAACAGTGGTGCTGCAGATGCTTAATATTTTTGTAGAAACCATGATACATTTTTTCAGGATTCTTTGATGAATACTTAGTTCAAAAGAACAGCATTTATGTGAATGCTGTAATGGGAAAGTAAATAGACTTTCAGGCTTGTTAATAAAGAACTATTCAAAAAAAATTGACCTCAATAAAAATCCCATTTTAGTATGCTAACTAATTTACAAGAGCAATAGCTGTTATTAGTACTGCACCACTTTGTGATTGCTGTATTTTGCTGCTAACGATACTGTGTGCAGATACAGATCTTTCAGTTTAAATTAATTCCAAATCTGGGTCACATGAGTGTGTTTGTACATGCTGAGGATTTCTAATGAAATGATATTTGTTGATTTGTGAAGTGTATTTTATTAAAACTCATTAGTGGTCTATCAGCGTATGTTGTGCGGCTGCTGGAGCTGTTGTCCAGTAATGGTGGCAAATGTGGTGTCAGCACAGGGCAGTTCAAGGTCATTGCACATGCAGTGCTCTTGTTGCATTTAGTGTGTGTGTGTGTGTGTGTGTGTATGTGCGCTCACGTGTAGGATAAGGGAGTGTCCTAATAAAATGAGTGATGAAGAACTCTCCTACAGCTTACTCTGCATAAACTCCCTCTCTCTCTTTCTTACTCGCACCTCCAGTGTCATTTTCTCCTGCAGTGTAAGTCCATCACTTGTAGATTGTTGTGAGAGCGCCAGCTACAGCCTGATTAGGATTTAACAAGCTCAAAGACATTGAGTAAATTTTACTCTGCCTGTCAAAGCGCTTGTATGTTCCAATGCATATAAAGAAGCTGTAATATTTCATCTAATTATCATCTTCTCTGTAGGTTGAGGTGTGTGTTTCTAATTAGTGTTTTGTGTCTGAATGTGGTTTTGATTGCTTTGGCAGTCTGTGCTTGATTTCTCTGTGGAGATGTTTGAGATGTGTACTGAATATACTATAGAGCTGATGTCAGTTCTGATTCAGTCCACAGATGCCGACTATGACCGTGTTCCTGTGGAGGCTTATGGGTTGGCAGTGCTGAAGGGAATGGGCTGGAAGCAAGGAGAGGGAATCGGACACACATTTAAACAGTAAGGACCTTTCTTTTTCCCCCAGTTAAATGTAATTGAAGTAATTCAAATGAGTGGAGAGAGAGAGTTTCTCCCACATGAGCACCACTTTAGCATGTTTCATCTTTGACCTCTGCAGTGTCTTTATATTTTCGTCACTGTTTTGTGTGATAAGCACTTTCTAATGCACGTGATTTTTGGCTCTCCGCAAGTCTTTTCCACTCATGTTTCCTTGTGTTGGGATTATTGTCCCGGCTGGAGACATCAATGATGTGAGATTATGATTTTATGTCAAATGCAATGAAGAATTATTTCAGACCGGCGGAGAGAATCTTTGGCGTGGACTGGCCGCACGCTTTTTAATCTTCTGTGCTTACGAGCCCATCTGTCTGAGTTTTTCCCCCCACTTAAATATGCTTTTAAAGACAAATAAAGATTAATATTTATTTGCCATGCAAATTAATTGCTTTCCAGATTGTGACATTGTTTCTAGTGAAACTGAATGTCCGGAGGGAAGTAATGTACTGCAGGGTAGTGCATTTAATTGCATGTATTTTATGGTGCATTATGATTTCACTGAATTGTTAAAGTGAGTTCTGATTTTTATGTGGTTTAATGTGCACTGATAAATTGTGTTCATAACTTTAAGTAAACAGGGTCAGTTTTGATTTCATGGTGTCTTTAAATCGAATGAGAAAAGTTAAGTATACAATTTGAGCTTGTGGGAAAACAAGCCGGTTGGGTTCAAGCGTTTAAACCCAAAACATCTTCAGCAAGGCTTTATTTTTCTGTAATCAGAAGCTGTGTGGTCTGGGATACATATTTCACACAGGCTGGTTTGCACATGTGCAACCGGTTTACACAAATAGTAATAAAAAAGCCATTTTAAAAATGTAACTATTTTTTACTCTTTTAAAAAGAAAATGTGTAATTTTATTTACCAGATCTTTATCAGTTAAAATGGTCCTTTCTGTCTATCAGGTCGTCTTAGTAAAGCTCACAAGGACAAAGAGAGAGAAAAAGAGCAGGAACAGCAGAGGGAACGAGAGCAGAGGATAAACAGCAAAGATGACAGAGGAAAGACGGATAGAGATCGAGAGAGGGGGAAGGACAGAGACCGAGATCAGAAGAAAAGAAAACACAGAGAATCAAGTGCAGACAGGTAAGACAGACACTCAAGAACACAGTATGTTGCATGTATATGTTATTGAATCTGTATTTAATTGCATAAACTTACTCTTCGTCCCAGAGAGAAGCCTCCTCCAGCAAAGGAGTCGCGGCCCTCACCTCCAGCCCCCTCATGGCTCCAAAGAGACCTCCATGTGCGTTTCATCGATAAAGCATTCAAAGGAGGCAAATACTACAACTCAAAGGTGCTTCTATTATAGTGAGCCTGGTTAGTTTCGTAAAGTATCTGTTTTTATGCTGAGAGATACTAAAGTGTCTGTATTGGTGTTTTGGAGGGAAACACACAGGATGTGTTCTTGTCTTCATAAATAAGCTGAACACATTTTGACACAAAATATTAGTATACATTTAAGTTTTTAATTTTTGAATTTGTTTCGTGTGTTTAGATGAGAGTGGAGGATGTCCTGACGCCCCACACCTGTGTGTGTCGTACAGAGGAGGGCCGACTGCTGGACGGTATGACACACTCTGACCTTGACCATTATAAGAGACATTTTAACAGTGAGGCTTTTTGGTCTAATAGCTGGTTGTAAGTTTTACTCATTTGTCTGTTTCAGATATTAGACAGAAGATGCTGGAGACCATTGTACCCAAGAACGACTCAGACTACATTATGGTGGTTCTGGGAGAACACAGAGGACAGGTATATAGATTTACGTGCTTGTGTAGTACAGCATGGCTCTGTGCCAAATCCTAGTGGGCTGCCTTCTTAGACAGCATTGTAAGCATCATAGACACACTCCTGACATCATGATAATACCCAAATTTGTTAATGTTAACTAAAACGATTAAATATCATTTTTAATTGAAATAAAGCTAAAATAAAATATAAATATCAGATGAGAAACTTAAAGGGGTCATATGATGCTTTTTTAAAGGTCATTATTTTGTGTATTTGGTGTAACAGAATATGTTGACATGCTTTAATGTTCAAAAAACATTATTTTTCAAATACTGTACATTATTGTAGGTCCTCTATGCCCCGCCTCTCTCAAACGCTTCGTTTTCTACAAAGTCCTTCCTTCCGACAAGCGCAGTCTGCTCAAATAAAGCTAAATAGAAATTTGTAAAAAAAATTATATAAGAAAATTAGTAAAACTTAAACTGAAATTAAAAATAAAATCTAATTCAGAATATTAATAAATACAACAATAACCCTGCTTACACCTCAGTTAGCCAAAGTAGGGCAGCATGACATTTACACACATTTATTCCAGTTCCAGAATGCACTGCAAAATCCCAAGATGGTGAATCAACATTTTATTCACTACTATAAATAGATCCACCTAATTAAAATGAAATATTTGTGTGTACCATGTATGCATCACCTTGGAGTATTACGTCTTTATCTTAGTAACATGTTAACGTGCCTTAGAAAGTAGCTGCCTATGTAGACAGCAAAGAAGTGCACTAGGGTTTAGACTCAAGCCCACACGTTATCTATCTTCTTTATGTATTTGTGGTCCACACTTATATTTTGTCACTCGCATAATCATTAAGTCTCATAATTTGTCATTGAATTATATCCATATGCGAAGATGTGCATTTCTGCTGTAGAATCATAATGCACACCTTATCCTGCAGGTGGGCCGCATCCTGAAGCGAGAACGAGAGAAGTGTCGAGCCATGGTTCAGCTGGACCGATACGAGGAGCAGGTGTTCACACTCGACTATGACGCCATCTGTCATTATGTGGGCGCAACAGAACACTGAGAAGCCAACCGGAAGCCACAAATCACCCTTTATCATCCCAACCCTGTTCTGATGACGACATTGGTTGTGATTGGCTGCTTTTTCCCTGAATTGATAGAGACCAACATATCAGATCAATTAAATTTTAATACAACCAAAACTTAATTTATTTAGCTAGTTGTGCTGTTGTATTTTTAAATGCAGGTTTAAACCCAAATGTGGAGTCATACTTGGACGCAGCTGCTGCTGTGCTGTGACAGTGGTACATCTGCATAATCGGATGATCTTAAAGCAACATAATATCCTGTTAGTAAGTCTGTCATGTTGCTAAATAAAAAAGTGACATGTTTTACTCTGTATAGTAATAATGAACATTTACGCAGGTCAGCAGTAGCATCAGTGTTTGAGTGTCTGCTGCTGATCTAGGAAGAAAATGAAATGACATTTCAGCCCAATGTAATTGCAGAAAAATCTCACTGCCAGTTCATTAGAATCCAAACACTTTTGAAACTCTGCTTTGGTTTCTTAGTCCAATAAAGATCTCAATTTGTTGTTTATGTACAAAGTTAAACACAAGCCACCTACAATTTCCACTCATGTTATCTTTTTAATAATAAAATGTAAAATTCCTTCAATATGCCTTTGACTTGATCTCTGAATTACTGAAGCATCACTCATCCATATAAACCGTACTACATCAAATGATACATTCAATTCTAAGGCCTCTAAATGATCAACTTGTCAAAACTTTGCTGAAAACAATGTTTGCGGTACACAATCTACTACGTGCCTTCAGTCATTTATTGATAGTTTTTAATTTTTAGAAAGTAAAAGGCCTTTTAGTATAATTTTAAACATGTCTTGGTATTGTACATGTCTTCTTTTGCTGTGAAATCTTTAATGATTCTTATAATGCAAATGTAAGAATAACTTTTATATTGCTATTAATATTTAAAAATGAACATTAATTGCACTTAAGCAACTTGGTTTTCTTATTTATCCATAAATCATTTTTTGAAAAAAAAATCATGTTCAAATGTATAAAATTTGATTTGAGGAACGTTTATTTGTACATTTCTCTGTCATCATTATATTGCATTGCATTATATTTTCCTCCACAATACAACTAGAGCTTTGATCATTAAACTAAACTAAACTTAAATATCTTAAGACATATCACATGGGAGATATAAAGTGACGACTGATAACGTTACTCAACAGTAAAACAACACACATGCAAACCTTTTAGACCTTTTTAGTATTTTGTCTAAAGTTCCAAAAAAATGTTACATTTAAAAAATAGATTTTTTTCTGACAATTATTTCATGTTAGGGTTTCATTTCATGTCCATTCAGATGATTCTAAACAAAAACACGATTCATAACTTACCGTACCTTTTTTTAAAAATTTTTTATAAAAGCCAAACCTCTGAATGCACCTTTAAACAAAAAGTTTATTTTGCAGGGAACAACATCACTATCTTAAGTAAAATGGCAATCGTTTATAAATTGTATAACATACAACACACTGTGTATTTACAAATGAATCTCTGTCCCAAATGTAAGAAAAACATTTCAAAAGCCTTTTAAAACAAATCATAAAGGCTTTACAGACACACGATTCCTGCTCAGTCGTCATCATCATCATCATCATCCTCTTCCAGGCGTCTTGTGTTCTCAGCGTTTGCTCTCAGGACAGCTCCAGGACTGGGGTACGGCCTCTGCTGGAACAGGGGTCCTGCCGCTGTGGTGTCCGCTCCGGTCTTTGCCTCATTGCGTTTGGGGAGACCAGTTGACCATAAGCCCCTAAAAACAACAGCACCACATATTGATCACGAACATGTACTTTATTACAGAAGCAACCTCTTTCCAGAGCTCATGTAAGTGCAATTTAAGTGCATTGCATTGTCATTTGTTGTATACTAAATATTTCTGCAACTTTAGTAGGTATCCAATGTAAGGCCCTATGATTTCCACAATGTGGAAAATACACTCATATAAAAACGGTATTTACTGTACAAAGTGGAATAAATCACTTTAATTGTCTTTGAATTTTAAACCTCAAACTACTGCCATTTAAATATTAAGTCTGCATGTTTTATGTCTCTGTAAAAGAACTCAACAGTTGTTGTCTAGCACGCATACTTGAAGCATGCATGACACTCGCTGTGTTTTCAGCGTCTGCCGTCTCATTATATGAGGACATGAATACATAAACTTTCAGTCACTTAATGAGCATTTCACCAATTAATTTGATAAACCTATTGTCTAATACACATAGAAACTCAAAAGATCTTCATTACAACTCTTTACTACAAAAGTTCTTCCATTTAACTTGAAGGCGACATTACATTCTAAAATAGTATTAAAATATTACAGTTGAATTAATAACAATAGTAATAAAGTTGATTAAAACTAAGAAATAATCAAATTTTCTTCTATTTTTTTCAATTTAAACCGTAAACCTCAGCAGCACTTTGCCAAATGATGAGAAACAACAAATGAAAGCATGCACTCATGATTTAGTATGTTTTAAGGGTCACTCAGTAAGATTAATACGCATGTGTATCTTACCGTGGTCAGACTGTTTCACGATGCCTCTTTTAGCGAGGCGCGCAAGTAAAGCCGGAGGCAGAGGCATCTGAAGAGAGAGTTAATCAGCAGTTACTCATCACAGTGTTGAAGAGCCGCGAGGAACCTTAAACTGCACCATCTGAAACTGCACTGACGGGATGCGGATTTCATATGCAAATAACGGACAGGATAATACACATGCAAAGTTATTAAGAAATACACGACGGCGACTGCATACTTTACCTTTATCACGTCCAGAAGCTTAGTTATGGTGTGAAGGTTTCAATGAAAAGCGCCTCAAGCGACTCCGGCGCACAACAATGACGTAGCGAAAGCGTGAAGTGACGCTCAGCTGAACATTTGCTTTTATTATAAAATAGATGATTCTTTTAGGAAATACACAAAGCATGTGGTGTTTTAACACGTTTAAAAAATAATGTAAACGTAACACTTGATGTTTTTAACGGCAAAAAAACGCTGTGAACTTAATTGTATGCCTTAATTCTTATGATTTTAAGGATGGTGCTATTTTTTGTCATAGTCTGATGATGAATTGGCACTTCGAAGTCCACACTATTAATTTAGTATTCTTTTCGGTAAGAAATTCCAAAAGTGGATTTGCTGATGTTTTTATTGTGTTTAGCAAATATGACCTACCTACCACATTAATGTCTGAATTATCATTACACGTCTCAATAAAAGAAATGCTTACAAACGATTAGATCTCTCCATTACTATAGATTTCCAGCAGACAGTGCTTCTCAGTAAATAATAAACCGTTTTCTTTTGAGAAAGCACTATTACATACATCTAGTTCCTGGCCTCTAAAGCTAAAACTTATTGAGAAATTGTTTTCAGATTATAAAATTAAGGGCTGGTTCATATGGTGAAGTTTTATATATAATAGAATTGCATCAGAAGTGTCGACTTTCTCTTGAGAACTATGCATAAAGAAATACAAATATCCGTCATTTAAATTTAAGTAAATATATGAGGCTAATAACCTCTGAATCGTTTTTCAGAAGCACAAGGTTCTCAGTACAATGTAACGCTACACCTAAAGAGGGAAAAGAAAGTGTCCATACAAAAGAGGGAGCTTTATTAACAAAACACACCAACAGAAACAAGTCTTTGTTGGACAGTCTACAGGAACAAGTGTCACATGTTGATAAGTGAGTGTTTAATGGCTGATATTCATCTCATTGTCCTCATCCTCCTCTGAGGAAAAAGAGGAGAAGCAGACTGGCTCGCACTCCAAGGTGCACAGGTTCACAAGACAGGCCGTCTGTGTGCTGCTGAACTCTGGGATTGCTACCAGGAGAACATCTTGTCCTTCAGGTCCTGAGATGAAAAATAAGACAAAAATTACCATACAAAAATATACTGGTACTGCATGGCCACACTTACACACAGTGCTGTGTTTAATATTAAATAGTCTCGTCTTCACCTGTGACTCGTTCACATTTGTAGCTTGGTGCGTTTCCGCTGAAGTACACATGAGGGCATTCTTCCATAATAAAGGGATCTTTCTGATAGAACGGGTAACAACCTTAAGGGTCAACAAAACATGTCAGAGCAACATTTTCAGAGTGCTTTATACAAAATAGTAATACAACAAGATATTCAAAAACTTCTAAATGAATATTTGTTCTTTTTATAAATTCAAATGATTTTAGGTCCTGAAAGAGTCATACTGAAGTGTTTAATATACTATTGAATACATTTTTTTTTTTAAAGCAGTAAAATATCTTCACAATACAAAGCCCTTAAAAGGACATGGCAATGGGAAAAAAGAGATGGAAGGAAAAATTATATATCAATGCTTTTTAATTTTCTCGCACAAGTTTTGTGAGTGAACAAAACGGGTGATGGAAATAATATGAGGTGGGAGGGAAAAAAGTTATGGAAGAGAACACAGAACCATTGAAATATAATTTTTCCTCCCATCTCATATTTTTTCCATCACCTCTTAGTGGCTCTGTATCAGAAAGTTAAAATTACAAAAAATAAATATTTTA